GATCACTCTCATTTTGTAATATTAACTTTTAATATACTATATGTTATATATTATATCAAATCTATGATTTATTAATAGTTTTATAATATTATTAAAAATATAATGTGTAATTTGAATATTTAAAAATCGATCTAAATTAAACGGCATAAAATTAAATCGAATTAAATTAATTTTTTTTAATATATCATCTAAAATTGAACCGCAAATAAATTTATCTTTAGATCAAATTAACTTTTACTTTAAAATCGATTCAAATCAAATTACGAACACTCATAAGTTTTTATATATAAACCACAATAGAATAAGCTGATTTGTAAAAGCATGTTACACGTTGTATGACCAAAACCAAAACAAAATCGTTTTTTAAGTCCATAACAACAACAAAAAAGAGACTTAAACTGTTAAATGTAATCATTCTGGATCATAATTATTGCTTGTTAATGTATGCAGTTTGTAGCATGCTCAAGAGTTAGTACATCATAAAGTACATTATTCAGACTAAGTCAAAAACTTTCTGAAACACACAAATGCGGTACATTATAAAGTAGTGAAGATATATATAGTCTTGCATTTCAGTAAAAAAGACAATGTACAGTTTTTTTATACGTTTATATTGCATAAAAATAGCAAATCTGAATTATACAATATTTGAATCATACAGGAAACTTATTCAGATCAATTGCAACTAATATTAAATGCCAAAAAGTATATTGCATAAGACATAATATAGAAAATGTGAATTATACAAGAAAATCATTCAGATGAATTGCAAAAGAAAATCAAAATAAACAAAAACACATTATGAACCATAATTTAGAAACAAATCTAGTTTGGTGAAATCCGCGGAAGCAAGTCCATTAGAGTAGTATTTCTAGTTTTAATGATTAGGGAAGAGAGCAATTTAGACTTCATGAGCTCATAATTCATAATGTTCTTGTCTGATATCTTAAAGACATGATAAATAATCTACCACACACATTAAAAGAAAGAGAATGAATTATTATAAATAATTGAAGAAAATACACTAAGTAGTTTTTCACACACATTTTATATTAATAAGAAGATTGACTTTTATAGTCAATGAATTACTAATAATACATGCACAAAATTAATGGTATTATTTTATCTATTGATCTCCTTCAATTCTGTTGCGGTAATTCCGCATTGCCTCTTGAATTATTTAACTTACATTGTCTCTCTTAAATCAAGAGGTATTATCCCAAACATCTTCTTTAATTTGTAAAATAACTCCACCTTTAGTAGTTTGGTAAAAATATCCGCTAATTGCTCCTCAGTGTGGCAGTAATTAATCTTCACTTCTTTATCTTCAGCTAGCTCTCGTACCTTGTGGAATCGTATATCAATGTTCTTGGACCTCCTATGAAAAACTAGATTTTTACTCATAGCAATAGATGACTTATTATCACAAAATATCTATGTGGGAGCATCCTGCTTTTGATGCATCTTTTCTAAAATTCTCCTCAATCATACTGCTTGTGTAGCACAACTGGCAGCTGCTATGTATTCTGCTTCAGCTGTAGAGAGTGCAACTACTGGTTATTTATTTGAGGACCATGAAACGGCCCTGCTACTAAGAAGAAACGCGTACCCTGACGTACTTTTCCCTCTGTCAACATCTCCAGCCCAATCACTATCGGTATAGCCAATAAGTTTCACATCATTATTATTTGAATAGAAAATTCCATTGCTCAGAGTTCCTTTGACATATTTGAGAATTCTCTTTGCTCCTTGTAAATGACATATTCTCTTTGCTCCTTGTAAATGAAATTCACGTGGCTGCTCCATAAATATGTTGAGTAATCTTACTCCATAGACTATATCTGATCTTGTTGCAGTCAAATATCTCAAACTTCCAATCAAACTTTTGTAGTAAGTTGAATAAACTTTCTTGCCTCCATTTACTCTTGTCAGCTTCAATTTTTATTCAACATGTGTGGAAACTGGCTTTAAGTTTGTTATCTTGAATTTTTTTAAAATGTCAACAACATACTTTTTCTGAGAAATTAAAATTTCATCATTTTGCTGAACGACCTCAATACCAAGAAAATAAGACGTCATACCCAAATCTGTCATCTCAAAATATTTAATCATAGCCTCCCTGAATTGTGTAATCATCCTTGTATTGTTGCCAGTAAAGATTAGATCATCAACATAAAGACATATAATAAGTACATCTCCAGGTTCAATAAATTCTATATAGAGAGTGTGTTCAAAGGGACATCTCTGAAATCCATGTTGTAGAAAATAAGAATCAATCTTCTTGTACCATGCTCTTGGTGCCTGCTTTAATCCATACAAAGCTCTCTTTAACTTATAAATTGTATCTTCTTTTCCCGCAATCTCGTATCTTGCAGGTTGGTCGACGTATACTTCTTCTTCCAAAATACCATTCAGGAAAGAAGACTTAACATCCATTTGATGTATCTTCCAATTATTTTGGGCCGATAGTGAAATAAGCATTTGGGTTGTATCTAACCTCGCTACAGTAGCAAATACCTCAAAGTAGTCAATGCCTGGTTTTTGCTTATATCCTTTTGTAACTAATCTTGCTTTAAAACGATCAATTTCTCCATTGGGTTTATACTTGGTCTTGTACACCCACTTCACTCCAATTGGCCTTTTATCTATCAGCAAATCTGTCAGCTCCCATGTTTCATTCTTTTATATGGCATGTATTTCTTCATCCATAGCTTTTCTCCAATGTTGATTTCTACATGCTTCTTCAAAGGTGATTGGTTTACAATCTGCAAACAAAGCAAAGTTGATAATCTCCTCATCAGAAGGATCATTGTCATTACTAACAACATAGTTTGCCAATCTAGCTGGTAATCAATGATTCCTCTATGGTCTATTTGATGATCCTGACACATCAGGTGCTGGTGGCGTATCAAGTCCTAGATTTTCTTGTCTTCCTTCTTCTTCTTCTTCATAATTATTTGAAATCACCATTGGTTCCTTATTGGATTTTGAAGATCAATCTCATATTCCTTCTTCATCAAATGTCAATCTCGACTAATAATTAATTTCTTTGTTTTTGGATTGTAAATCCTATACGCTTTTGAGTTTGTACTATAACAAACAAAAATGCATTTTCACCTTTATCATCTAGTTTCTTCTTGAGTTGATCAGGTACATGGGCATATTCTATGCATCCAAAAACTCTGAGGTGTCGAATTGAGGGATTCCTTCCACTCCAAGCCTCTTCTGGTGTCTTGTCACAAACACTTTTAGTCGGGCACCTATTCAAAATATAAATAGCCGTGGCAACAACTTCTGCCCAAAATTCTCTAGGAATATGCTTAGCTTTCAACATACATCTTACCATATCCATGATGGTTCTATTCTTCCTTTCAGCAACTCCATTTCGTTGAGGCGTGTATCTGGTTGTTAATTGATGTTGAATTCCATGTTACTCAAAGAAATCTGTACAAGCAAGATACTCTCGGCCTGTCTGTTCTTAATGCTTTAACCTTGCATCCACTTTATTTTTCCACAAATGCCTTAAATGACTTAAAAGCATCACATGCTTCTGATTTCTGTTTCAAAAAATATATCCATGCCTTTCTGCTAAAATCATCAATAAAAGTAATAAAATAACTGCAACCACCATGTGTCAGAATCTCCACCATACATAAATCTGAATAAAATATCTCCAACAACCTTTTTGCCCTCCAAGACTTTCCTACTGGGAATGAACCTCTGTGCTTCTTTCCAATCTCACAAGTTTCACATATTACATTAGGAATATTCATAACAGGTAGTCTAGAAACAAATTCTTTTCTCGACAAATAATTCAATCCAGAAAAGTGATAATGCCCAAAATGCATGTGCCATAGCCAATCATCATTTGAAATCACAGAATTCAAACAAGAAAATTTTTCATGCTGAATTTTCAGAGGGAATAGGCATTTCGGTGTCATTTTTACCTTTGCAATAAATCTTCCATTTTTATCAATCAACGTGCAGAAGCCATGATGAATCTTAATGTTGTATCCTTTCTCTGATAGTTAACCCAATGCTTAATAAATTATGATGAAGACCAGGAACACAGAAAATATCTGAGATAAAGTTTTAAGAACCGTCTTTCAATCTGATAGCAACTATGCATTTTCCCACAATTTGAATATTTATATTGTTTCCAAATTTTACTATAGAACTAACTGATTCATTCAATGAACAAAACAACTCCTTTTCCCACACATATGATTTCTGCACCCAGTATCTAAATACCAGACATTTTCTTCTTCAGATAAAGTATTACTTGTCAAAAATAAGCTTTGTGGGTTATGAGTATTATCTTCAGCATTATCATATTTATATTCCACAATGTTTGCCTGGTGTCTGGATCTATAATCTGCAGCTCTATGCTCAAATTTCCCACAATTATAACAATTAAAATTATTTCTTTCTTGAAAGTTATTACCTCTTCCTCTTCCTCGATTACTAGACCAGAAATTATTTCCACCTCATCCTTGAATGGGTGACTTGTTATAGTTGTCTCTTTCCTGGCTGAAATTTCCACGTCCTCTTCCTCTAAAATTTTCTCGTCCTCTGCCTCTATAGTTTTCTCTTCCTCCATTATTATAATCACGGCCTTTATCATCAATACTCTGACTGGATTCAACAACGTTGTTGAAATTCACCTGGCTTTTCAAAGCCTCTTCACTGGCTTTTTCTGTCTTCTCCAAGATTCTGCTTACGTGGCTTTCAATGTTTCTTTACAATTCTGCTACTGTCATTTTGTCTAGGTCGTGGGACTCAACTATTGTAGTCACCACATGGTCAAACTTTATTGGCATGGTGCGAAGAATTTTCTACACTACTTTACCATCAGATATGTCTTCTCCGTACACCCTCATCTTATTGACAAGATCTTGAACACGTGAGAAATATTGTTCAACGGTTTCTGAGTTTGACATCTCATACCGTTCATATTCTCTGCGCAGCAATTGCAGTTTTGTTTTCTGAGCTTTTTCTACTCATTTGCACGATAGTTTCAATTTGTCCCATGCATCCTTAGCATTTTTAGCATCTTCTATTTTTCCAAAAATTGAAAAGTCTACTCCTTGATAAATTTGTGATAGTGCTAATTGATCCTTCCTTTTAGCGACATCATCAACAACTTCTTCTAAGCCAGGTTCAATGAAGTTCCAAATACTATGAACTTTCAAATGGGTAGACATCAATTTTTCCCAATAATTGAAATCAAGCTTTCCATCTAATTTAGGACCGGACCAGACATTATTATAGTTGGTTGTCATTTTCTTTCCCACAACAAGTGCACTAACTCAAATAAATTTAATAGGATGATAACTCTCTTGTTCCTCACTCTCTCAAATATATTTTTTTAACTAGTATCAGACTCTCAAGCTCTGTACCAATTTGATATCTTAAGGACATGATAAATCAATCTACCACACACATTAAAAAGGAAGAGAATGAATTGTTATAAACAATTGAAGAAAATACATTAAATAGTTTTTCACACACATTTTATATTAATAAGGAGATTGACTTTTATAGCCAATGAATTATTAATAATACATATACAAAATTAATGGTCTTATTTTATCTATGAATCTCATTCAATTCTGTTGTTGTAATTCCGTATTATCTCTTGAATTATTTAACTTATATTGTCTATTATTCTATCAAGTGAGATTGAGACTTCATGTACAACTCACAGAGTCAATTCAATTTTACAAATAAGAATAACAAAGATGAGTTAGGAAAAAGAAGTTTATACGTGTTGTACGTAACGGGAAAGGGAAAAGAAAATTTGGAATATAAATGGATATTAATAATTAATTGAAAACTCAATTTATATATATATCAAAGAAACAAAACAAATATTAACAATAAAAATAATAAAACTTTCAATATCTCTCATGTTTATATAATTTATGAACCAAATTGAAGAGATGGTGATGAACACAAAAGAAGGTTAACAAAATTCACTAACAATTTCATTGGAGAAAAAACTAATCAAGAATCAGACTAAAAGATAGAAATAGCTACAACTTGTTGAAATTTACCAGAGCATTGTATTTACTGGAAGATGATTCAGGCACTGTTGAGAAATAAAAATATTCCAAAACAGAGAGATTTGTGGTAGGAGAAACTTTAACTTTACTGCAAACAAAAATAATTATAAAAAAAAAATTAATCAGAATGATATATGATTGTCGGTTTAAAATTTTTTTTTTAAAATTGTGGTATGAAAGCTGGTGAAAGAGAGAACGAACGGCCACTTAATGAAAGTAGATAATGAGTGAAAGTGTTTGATTATGGAAGAAATAAATAAAAGAGCAAATGAGGTTTTAATGAATTAAATGAATAAGGACTCCAAAGATTTGTAATAAACATTCCTTACTATCAAATTTAATTAGTGGAAATGTAATAATTAGAGATGTAAAATTATATTTAGGATTATGAAATTAGTTACTAATAACTATAAACACCCAATAATAAACCATTAAATATTTTTATCTAAAAATATTTGTGTTTCGCATTTTACTATTATTATTATTATTGATCTAACCTGATCAGACTTGGACCGTCACGGCTGGCTCCGAGCTGAAAATTTTGAACGAGGTGGGGGTACCTGCAAGACACTCCGATGCTGAAGTAAGTAAGAGCACGAGCAGGCAATAGTAAGTATGGGTAGAATGATGAATACCTGACCCTCTGGAAACAGAGGGTATTTATAGCCCTCAGCGCTGGGCCAAGGTTCCTTCATTGGGCCGGGCAGGTTTGGCCCAATGGAGGAACTGCCAGGTTCTACGTGCGTAGTGGGGACCCGCACGTGGTCCCCTCCCTAGATGTTCTGCGTGAAATGCGGGCGGACAGAGACGCGGTCTTTTCGAGGTCTCGTTGGGAGCGCAGTAGACTGAGTCTGCCCTAGTTGGGGTGCTCGAGGTGATGTCGAGCTGGACAGTAGGCTGTCGAGCTGGACAGTAAGAGGTCGAGCAAGTAGCCTCAGGGAGCACGTCGGGCACGATTGTGACCCTTTGGTCGGCGTGGCCCTCAGCAAGTCCGTTTGGATTGGGCCTTATCAATGCTATTGGGCCTGTCGGGCCCAGTCCAGAACAGGAGCCCCCCAAGTCGTGGTTCCTCGGGCTAGGAGCCATGGCTTGATCTTAGGTTGCTTCCGTCTCGGGGCCTCGTGCCCGGGTCGGAGACGCCGCTCCTCGTGGGGTGCTCCTCGCGGAGAGTGCTCGAGGATTCCTCAACGGCGCATTTGTCGAGCGCGCGAGGTATCTTTTGGGAGCTGTGCCGCCACCCTATGAGGATAGGGTCATCATTGCCTAGGGAGCCGTGCGTCGAGGAGAGAAACTCTGTGGTTGCCCGAGGCGACGTTTGGTATTCCACGTCATCACTATAAATAGGATCCTTGGGCCCCATAACGCGTTACTACTCTTTGCGCTCCTGCTGCTGCTGTTCTTCCAGATTTTCATAGCATAGTTGCGATTCCCGTCACAGATTCCTTTCCTCCGTTGCCGAATCCACTCCTTGATTCCAAGTAAGTGACTTATCTTCTTTGTTTTCCTGTTGTGATGCATGATTTTCATCGTTGTAGACGTTTTAGGGACTGTGCGCGTGGGACTAGCCCGGTAAATTCATGTTTAGCTCGACAAATTCATGCTTAGGACCGGCAAACACACGCTCGTGGCCGGTAGATACATGGTTTAGGTTATAATCTGCAGTGCTGCCCGGGGTCTTCATGATCCAGGGCGCCTGATTCATGATCGTGCCCGGTATGTTCATGGCTCTGGCTGTAGGTTTTATGATGTTGCTCGCCATGTTCATACCTTGGGTCGGCATATTCGTGAGTGACCGCGTTGTCGATTTGCTTAGGCGGCTTGGAGAAGGTCTCGTCGAGTTATCTGGACGTCGGGGAGGCGACTGCTATTTTGTTTCAAACTAACTTTATGGTCGCACGTGGAGCGACGTGGTTTGTCGCACACTACATCTGGTCCGTTACGTCGAGCGTATGGTTTCGTGCCCAATTGACTGGTTTCCCGTGCTCTGCAGGTAACCATGGCGGACGAGCCGTGCTCTTCTGGACGCCCCGAACGGGAGGAACAAAGTGCCGATGAGACGGTGAGTTTGATCGACACTGTCGACGACCCTCTGTTGGACTGGGTGGGCGCCGAGCCCAGAGGAATCGCGTCGATCTATAGCCGGCGTAACCGAAAGCCATATGCTGTCCTTGAGGCGAGCCACGGTCAGCCTGATTTTCAAAAGAATTTCGTCGTTACGCGACCGACCTCCACTGCCCGGATCTGCTCGGTGTACCCCGAGTATAGTTTCCCCATGTACGAAATTGCATTCAAAGACCTTGGGCTGCAGCTGCCCTTCAGTGACTTTCAGGCCGGGGTCTTCGCCCATTTGGGGCTGGCCCCATCGCAGCTACACCCGAACTCGCTCGCCTTTATCCGGGCGTTTGAGCTGACATGTCGTTTTCTGAGGATCGGGGCGACTATACCTCTCTTCTTCAGAATTTTCCATCTGCAGCGCCAGTCCCGAGGAGGAAAGCACAGCTGGGTCTCCTTAAAACAGTCGAAGAGACTATTCAAGATGTACATGGACTCCGTGAGGGGTTTTAAAGACAAGTGGTATGTCGTGAGGCCGGTTACCACGACCGCTTTAGAATCCCTGTACGAGGAGGAAGCGCCGATGAGCGACGATGACGGGGAGGCGATTTTAGACAACAACGGGTATCCCGTGATGGCACGCACGGCCAAGTTCCCCGTGCATTGGATGTTTAGGCATTACGAGCACGGAACTGGGTATTACCATACTTCTGCGGGCGACATGGGCTCCGAGGATGAGAAAGCTTACGACACTCTTTGTCGGTTCGTCGACAGCTTCCACCCCGCCAGGTGGGCCACGAGGGAGGGGGAAGATGTCTTGGACGAGGAGGGTTATCCGACATTCGAGGCCCGTCCGATCGATACTAAGGCACTCGTGGAGTGCCAGTCGTTCAGGCAGGCTGCTCGTCTGCTAGGTCGTTTATTGCTTGAATTTCTTTGCTTGTCATTTGTTTGCGTATTTGCTCGACACTAACCCGGTTTTTATTTTGTGCAGGTTCGATGGCCGGGCGACGGGAAAGACTCTTGAAGCTGTCTTGCGACCAGAAGCGGGGCAGGAGGGTTGTGAAGGCTCCCCAAGCAACGAGGATGGGCCCGCCGCATAGTCCGGGCGCTCCTCATGTGGTGAGGGTGGATTCGTCGCCTAGCTCGGGGGCCGCGTCGGAAGAGATCCCAGAGGTTCAAGAGGTCGAGCCACATGCCGACCTGATACAAAGAAAGAGGAACCGGGTGGAAAGCGGGCCGACGGTCGGCGAGGACGCCAGCGTCGTAAGGTCCTTCGGGTTGCCCCCTTGCTTCAAAGAGGAGGGTTTCTTCGAGAGATTCCCTTTGTCCGTGGTTGCCGACGAGGCCGAGACTATCATGAGGATGAGTAAGGAGGACCGGAGGAGGCATCTGGCCGCCAATATGGTCGGGCTGGTGAAAATGGCCGAAATGGCCGTTGTGCTGTCCGAGGAAGGGGAGGATCCTGTCCGCATCGAAGCATTGGAACAGGAGAAAGCGGCCCTTGCCTCGAGTTCGCGCAAATTAAGGACTGCCCTGGAACGCTCCGAGGAGATGTTCCGCGAACAGGCATCGCTGCTGGCTGCCGAGAGGGAGATGCTGATTCTGGAGAAGGAAAACTCGGGGAAGCTAGCCGAGGAGGGAGAGCTTCTTCGTGCGGACCGGGAGCGTCTGGAGACCGACATCGGGCGCCTGACCCAACAGATCGAGGACCTGAAAGTCGCCATGCTTCCCGCCGAGGACGAGCCGAAGCACATAGCTTCTCTGAAAAGTCGATCGGAGCTGGTCGCCCATATCCGGCTCCTCGAAGCAGATTGCATCGGCGCTCTGGAGGAGGGGTTCGACTTCGCGGTCAGCCAGCTTTCCTTGCTGAATCCTGGTTTGATCACTGAAGGGACTGGCTACACGTATCAGGTCGTGGATGGCGTGATCGTGCCCCCGCCCGACTCTCCTGTTGTCGACAATGATGGTCCCGGGGAAACTGGATTGTAGGATGATGGGCCTGCGTGCCTTATTGATATTTGTTTGGGCCTGCGTGCCCGTTGGTATTTTTTGGGCCTGCGTGCCCGTTGGTTGTACTTTATGAACATCGCCGGCCTTCTTGATCGGTTTATACTTATTTGCTTTGTTGCCTTCGGGCGTTTTTTGAATGAATGATGTTTCAC